CGTGTATTCTTAAATAGGGATGTCATTATAAGTGAATTTGTAACTCGTATCTCACCAAAAGTTGTTTAAATCTATTCCTCTAGATCATATTTTTTATTACTAACATGCAATTGTCTTTCCGGATTCACCTTCGAACTCATCAATGTGCATTTGGCGATCTTATTCCAAAGAATGTAAGCGAATGTATTTAGTACAGTTCACTTGACACTCTTTTCAATGTTTTCGTTTATTATTCACGTTCATGTCGCGATCGCATGTAAGAGTCCACTGAAGACACTGAGATACAAAAGGGCCAAAAGGGCACTGCTGCGTAACCCATTTCAAGAACTAAAATTCCGAATCTAAAATCTAACAGTGTAACAGTTCTCATTAGCCAAAAATGAATATTTGCATTCTGTAGCCACTGAAGACTGTGAGTTCAAATTATTTCATGAACCAATAATTAGTAATGTAATAATTATAATCTCTGTCTTTATATTAGTAGTGGGCACACCCTCTCCTTAGAAGATGTCTTATTGGTAACTACGCCGTAAAAAGTGTTTGATCCTTGTCCGATCATGAAAACATGTTTAAGATTATTAAAGCAAAATGATACAATTTTCGGATAATCAAGTATTTAATGGCTCAATGTGTTTGGGTCGAGCGATATTATCAAAAAGGAATATGTGATAAATCACTTAAATGGTATCACACAATGATAGACATTTCGTTGCTGACTCTTGCTTTATTTCATTGCACTGTGATTACAATCACCAGACCAGACAATCCAGTGATTGACACCATGCGCATCGATCCACGCACTCGGGATAGATGACATGCATAAACCAAGTCAGCGAGCCTGACCACCCGATCCCGTTATTCGCCTCTTACGACAAGCATAATCACTATTTACGGCAAGCATGGGTTGCTGAAGACCTATTCTATCCCGGATTGCTTCGTGTTCACGCGCGAAAGGGACGGGGTAACAAAGGAATGACACCATTTACTATATTCCACAGCTTTCATTAACATGTTGACATTTTGGGATGTTGAGATCCTGGCCTGTGTTATATATATCCTAACGTGTTAGCTAAAACATACAACGCCTTTGTTCCTTGTGTGACTTAGAGGACTAGTAAACTCAACACAGTAACTTCGCAGATGTTGTCAACCAACACTCATGTGGTTAACAACCATTTTTTGTAGAAATATAAGACGCGATTTTCTAACGACACATATTCCTTTAGGAGTAAAATGCAAAATGTTAAGAATGAGTCACTGAAAAACAGTTATGACACAAGGTGTTCTAAGCCAGGCTAAGTCTTTGCCTCAGATGAATAATATACAAAGTTATCGCAAAACCATAAAAGCTCTTAGAATTCTTGTCTGCTAGCTGGGACCTTTATATCGAATTGTGTAGACGCATCAGATTATTTGCATGAGTCTGATAACCCTGATATGATTATTAGGATTAGAATCAAAGTGACTTTTAACTTCACCATAAGAAAGCTCTGACACGTTTTAGAGCAAAACGACCTTTCGGAATTGTAACGGGTGACTGACCTTTAGAACTGTTTGTCAAAACTGAACATGAAGTAGAACACTTAGAAGATTTAGGGGACTGATTTGAGCCCAATATTTTCCCCAGTGTAGTGTGTGCACTATATCATACGTGAATCAGTGGAATATAACATTTGTAGGGAAGCCTTTCAGAGCCATTTGGTTGTTTTGGGGGTTGTTTTTTTCTTGAAATTTCAAGATAATAAGTTGAAATTTCAAGATGCTGAGTTGAAATTTCAAGTTATAATCTTAAAATTTCTATCTTGAAAATTCAAGATAAACATTAAAAAACCAAATAGCCTATAAAAGGCTTCCGCACAGTAGCGTAAGCATTTTATTTTGATGTAGACTGACCCCTTTAATTTGACGTATATAGATCTATCCTTACTTGAATATGTATCATCAGATATATTTACAAATATGTTTCAGAGCAGGGAGGGGAAAAGTCGCATACAAATTTAACTACATATCCAAAACATCATACAAAAGGAGAGTGCGCGAGTGTGCATACTAAATGCCATTTTGGGCAGTAGAAAAAATATACTGTTAATAAAAAAACATGTCTTTCTTTCAAAGTTTATTTCAGAAGAAAGGCCATTGACTGAGCAGTTAGAGTTTTTTTATTTTAACGCTGAATCCACAATATTGAAGCTATTCAGATATGTTAAAACATATTAATGTTAAATACCATGGAACAATTACTGGTATATAGCTGCACTTTTCCCCAAGGGCGTGTGGTTGACTAAATCCTGCTGTGTTATTTCAAATGATACACCTTGGGCACACCAGAAACCTATGATTGTGGGTTCGAATCCCGGTTCGCCCCGATTATGTTTCTAGGTTTGTCAGCACCATACCCGTGTTCGTCGTTTTCGACTGAGACCTACATCACTTCGGGTTTTCCTCCCACATTAAGCTGACACGCCGTGATATAACGGGAATACTGTTAAAAGGGGCGTTAAACCCAACTCACTCACTTTTTGTGTGGTACATTGTTCCTTTGTGTGTGGTATATTGTTCCTTTGAGTGTGGTATATTGTTCCTTTCAGTGTGGTATAGTGTTCCTTTGTGTGTGGTATATTAGATAAACTCCAACAACCATAACAAGTAATTAAAACATGTTTTAGATTTGTAGTGTTTAGGGGCGGTCGGGTGGTTAAAGCGTTCGCTCGTCACGCCGTAGACCCGGTTCGATTCCCGACATGGGTACAATGTGTGAAGCCCATTTCTGGTGTCCCCCGCCGTGACATTGCTGGAATATTGCTAAAAGCGGCGTAAAACCATACTCACTCACACTCACTGTAGTGTGTAGTATGTTTCAAAATTACAAATATTTGTTTCTTATGAGTAATTGAGTGATTTAATTATTCAGGTAGATTTCCACTTATGTAATAACTAAAGATTTAATTCAGAGTTAAAGACTTGCTCTTCTTAATAATTTATCACCTTTTTATTAACCGGACCAAGTTGTTGACCACTCGTTTTTGTTCTTTTTTAATGTAATAGCTTTTCGTCCTGTGTTATTCCCTCCTGGGACGTCGTGCGAATTTTTCTCAAAATCAGTCATGCAAGGTGTGTGCTTCATCCCGCTAACGAGAAGGGTCGTATCCAAAGCAAAGGGTAAATAATTAAAGGTTCCCCAAATAAGATGTGTTACTACATAGCCTACATCAGTGTGTACATTGATTTACATCACAGTATATTTTCATAATGTTTTATTACAATACCCATATACAAATATACACTCAAATTTAGTTAGCCTATCTCACAGTCCCTGAACCACAATATTTTCCCTTTCGTCTAGCCCTAACTGTAATGGTGAAACTTAACATGAAGCAAGTCTAGATTTCCCACAGGTTGTGCTTGTCCCATCTCTTTTTGTTTGTCTAGACTGACTAAAACTGGTAAGGTGCATATGTTTACGTAGTGCGTTATGTGTTATAATTTAATGTCAGTACACATGTCCACGTGGCAAGCCCAACACAAGCAGATGACATCACATTGCTAAGTCCTCTAAACTCCAACCTTCAGACAATGTGAAAACTATAGCGCCAAGTGGCGCTTTACCTTCTCTGCCTCAACGAGCAACATAATCTCCCTCAAGAAGTCTTCACCCCTGCCTACAACAATCATCCTCTACGGCAGAGAGATCCAGAATGTGTCTGAGCTTAAACACCTCGATATAGAGCTTCATGAATCATTTAATTCGTGGAACAGGACAATAGCAGCTTGCTCGAAAATGAAGTCTACAGCATTCGCATTAATCAAACCAGGCTATCACTCTAATGCACTGAGTCCCCTCACCAGTCTCAAGTTGTTCCAGACAATATGCCTACCTAAAGCATTGTATGGCTGCGAGTTGTGGTCAGATTTGTCAAAGAGGGAGCTACTAGCCATTGAACGCTCACAAAGACTAGCAATAAAGATGGCACAAGGACTTCCCAAACATATCAGAACTGACCTATGTAACTCTCTTTTGGGAACCTTACCTGCAGAAGCAGCAATTGATAAAACGAAGCTGTTGTTCTTTGGAAAGCTTTGTCATACAAAGCACACTAATATATCCCACAGTGTCTTCATAACCCGCCTCTTCTGCTTGCAAGAACAGCTGCAGTCCAGTTTCACTTGGATTCATCCCGGATGTCTATCGACTCGTGAAGAAGTACGGATTAAAAGAATATCTTGAAATGTTCATAGACTCTGGAAGGTTTGTGAGTTACATCTCCTGGAAGAAGATCGTCACAGAAGCTATCTTCACTTATGAAAAAGAGCAGTGGGCCTGTAGAATAGCTGCTGATCCAGACCTAAAACACTTTAAAAAAATCCATCCTGAAATCCAGCCTCACTTTGCATGGCAGATTGCCAAACTATTTCCCTTGAGGAAGCCCCTCTGCAGACTAATGAAGCTGTGTGCTTGCTGGAGACCAGGGAAAGAAAAGGGCACCTGTGTCTTGTGTAATGCTGACATCAGTGACCATCTGGTCCACAGTGTGTGCTCGTGTGAGTACCGTTCACGTATACGTGACAGTCTCTGGATTGACATTATAGACTGTAGAAGTGAACGTCAGTCTCCACAGTAAGAATGACTGTGATCTTGTGTGTTCTCTGCTCTCGTGCAGACCTCCACTTCCTCTGCCAGAAGAAGATACAATAAACTATGCAAAGACTGTAATACAGCACCTTTCAGCATTCGCATCAACTCCTGAACTTTAAAATAACATGCATCTAGCCCCCTTAATATTTTTTTCAATATTTTGCCCTGCAGATTGTACTCTCCTTTGGAGCAATAAAAGCTTATATATATAAAGCTTATATATGGGTGATATTTAAATGTCAGTACACATGTCTTTGTGTACGCTTGCAGTTAGGACAGCCTTGTTGGGGTGATACAAATAACTGTCAGGCCTCGGTTTGGGGAATTAGCTATTGGGAGCTAGCCTTGAAACAAGAGAGAAGAGAGCTGTGAGGTCCTTAGGGTTTATTCAAGCAAGTGTCTCATATCATTCAAGTTACATCAATTAATATATAATAGTGACGTACAATGATAATGATATGCGAACACATTGTCCATCTAATAAAGGCATAATAATAAAGGCAATGTATTTAATATTGGAGTATGTGCGGTAACATTATACAACAGATGCAGTATTTACTAGAATAATAACGGTAATGCTAAATAACATTTCTTAACAGATAAATTGAGTAGTCGTAACATTTTAATAGAGCATGTACGGTAGACTGCACAAACTGCTTAGATGAGGAACATGACATTTACTTATGAAAAGACGGTAAACATTAATATTTTGTAGTTTCAGTTATAATTATCACAACTTATAATTTCGGCAAATACAGAAAGTAAATACTTGATCCAAATAAAGATACGAATGTACGCGGTAGAAGATATAGCTCGGTTTTAGTTAGAGTAATTATTAGTTTTAGTGGTGATTACTTTGGTGACTACGGTAATGAATCACCGCGGCTGTGTTGCTATTGACTGCGCGCATTTCCTAAATATATACGGAGCTAGACGATAACAGCTAATGGTGTGAATACGGTAATTGTATGCGCGTTTGAATGTACGTTATTATGAAGTATAAAGGATGACTATAACAGTATTTAAATGACTACGGTAATGGAATTGTGGTATAGGCTGTGTTGTAGCGTATGCAACTATATGAGGGACGGGACTCTTAACAATATATTCAAATACTTACTTAATGAGGATAAAACCTAAGAAATATGGAATGCGTTGTATTATAGCCTATTCTGTAAGCGCACACGGAAGGTAAAGCTGCTCATATAACCTTTGATCGGTGGACTGTCGGAAAATATGGAATAACCGACCTACGTATAGAATATATCTTGCTTGAGTGTTAACTCTAGGAACCGTTTTGTGACTAAGCTACATGTACGCTTCGCTACTGCACGGAAATATAAACTGTATATGCATCTGGTATTTTGAACAGATGATGTTAGACATGGAAGGGGAAAATAATCATGGATGTCGAAATATAGGAGAGAACTATGGGTGCCGCATATTAATGACACATAAACTGGTGGAGCCCACAACGCAATACACTTCAAACAACACTGGGAAGTTACTGTGTATTAAACGGTAAATAATATATATAATGAGCAGTCATTTAGAACTTGTACACAGTAGATTGAGAGTTACAATATGGCAGTACTGATTCAACTTAACTATAACATTTTCTAGACAATAATAACAATGAAATAAGAAGTTTAGTCATAAAATAGGAATATTTAAATGTTTCTTACCTTGAAACAAGAGAAAAGAGAGCTGTGAGGTCCTTAGGGTTTATTCAAGCAAGTGTGCTGAGGACCAACACCCAAGGAGTTATATACCCCCACAGCTCTACTCTTATCACATAAACAATTACTTTGAAGTTGTAATTTCGGTCTCTGTTATCTGCGCCAGGCAGTCCAAGTTGACTACACAAAAGCAGGTGGTAATAGAATAGCATCAGTATTGCCTAACAAGAGTTTATTTTAATTACGGTTTTAGATGATGGGCAAAACCTGCGCCAGCTGGTAACAAAACATTATCAATATGTAGCAGGGTACCTTATATTCTTCCTATAGTTATATCATTATTCATACATCATCATCATAATCATCTATATGTTCAATGTTTGTCTTGTCTACAGTTGAATATCAGTATCTAACTCTTTAAACAACTCAACACCCTTATTTTCAGTCTCTGGGAATCTCTCACCAGATGTTCCCCTTCAACCTTCTGTCTATCTTTCGACATTTTTCACACCTGTAGGGTTTCCCTCAGTCTATTTATATCTTGCATTAAGCCCTTCATTTGATGCTTAATGCAATCTGTCTTCTAATTGGCCACCCTGGTCCTCTACAGGTAGCTTCCTTCCATACCTGACTTCCTCCTCACTTCATGTGCTGCTGTTGAGGAGGAAGGACATTTTCTTTTCTTCAGGTATGGAATGGCCATATTTCAATCTGTTTTCATCTGCTTCTGTCAGAAATTAATATCTATATTAGGGTGCTGAATTAAATTGAATAATATATATAATATCATTTAAAGTAATATTAAATTAGTAAATGGAATATTGATATTATAAAGTTTGCTTGTAAAATAATTAACCACATGGTCTATTTTGGCCCATGTGCTTTTCAAGTATCCTATCGTGAACATACATCAGTAATATAATACTAAAGTTAGTTTTATTATAGTTTATCAATGGCTTTTGTACTTCTATATTTAAGATAAATAATACCTGTAAACTTGCAAATATATGACTTCATGTGCTGCTGTTGAGGAGGAAGGACATTTTCTTTTCTTCAGAGAGTTCTTCAACAGCAGCCACCCCCTTGTAATAAATCAATGATCACCATCAGCCTGTGTCTGTGTTTCCCAACGGCCCGAGCCGGATAAATACCACTACCCCGGCTACAAATAGAACAAGGGCCGGGGCGGACGAACGCGCCGTAATTTACTGTTCGCGTGAATGAGGTTGCCAAGGAGCAGCCGTCATGGTCGACCAGTGGCGATAACAACGAGAAATACTGGTCTAGCGACTTTCGAATTTTAGAATTTCCTAGTTTAATTTGGGTCACTCACTCGGGTCACACAGAGTAAAAATCCGACAAGTACCGTGTAGTGGGAGCTGTTCTCCCCGGGTTCAAAAGCTATATTGAATTTCCACTTGCTGGTTGGTTCCATTCTTTTGGATGTAGCGGCGGATTTTTCGCGGATTTTCGAATTTGATTGGTTTGCCTTTTTGGGACAGACGGGGTATCGTACCGTCTTCTCTCTTGTGAACTCCAACACTTATTTTCACTTGAAAGGTGCATCCCCATTTGATCAAAGTAATTTGATGAGATTGGTTAAAACAACTCTACTGGAAGAGATAACATTGTAATAACATCTTACATGTACCCTGTACTAGGGCTGGGACAGGTAACTCGGGTACCCGGATCGGGTGGGTACTGAGTAGACCCGGGTACACACAGGACTACCCGGACCCGTGGTTAGTCACGTGATATATTGTTTAATGTCAAAAACTATCTAGAACTCTATGGTTACACTAAAGTCACTAATGTTCGCATTTCTTTCTGATTATGCACCCATTCCTTCTGATTTTTCATATGGTTGAATAAAGATGTAACTTTATACATGTATGTTAATACGTTTTGCCAGGGCTATGCTAAAATGTTCGGGTAATAGGGTGGTGGGTACCCGGGTAGTAAATTTGGACCCTGTACACATTTGAGTTTTTACATGTGGCCGTTATATGACGTTTCTATGGCCGTTTTGACTTTTGAGTTTTGAGGTCGTTCTGACACGAGGCCGTTCTGATATGAGACCGTTTTGACTGCCGCCCTTGTTCAACGACCTGAACACGGGTGAACACCCCGACCAACACTCGGGCGGAACCCGTAACACACGCATTTCGGAGGGACCACATCTTTTACCAAAGGAGGTCCCGTGTTAAGCTGAAATTGGAGGCAGTAACAAGGAGAGCAATGTTTGATTTTCCAACTGTTTGATTGGTATTCCAGAAATTGGTGAGTAAATAAGAGAACATACAACTTTATGGATAACAACACCACCCTATTACCCGACCCGTCTGCATGTAGATTCCCACGCCCTGCTCTACTGTCTGTATGCCGTCTACTCGAACCTTGATACCCCATGGGGCAAGTTTGGCATTTACAATATATATATCTTTAACGCACATTAATCGTGTACAATCATGTTTTTAGAGTATTTGTCAGTCTTGTAAAACATGAAGGAAATAAGACAGTAAATATAATATTCAAATCGCAACATAATACATGTACAACGAAAACTAGATACAGTTTAACATTTTTATTTTGACCGAAAATTGGGATCGGTAAACAAGACAAAACCTATTGTAATACCTCTCCTTATATACTTACAACAAAAGTTCCTGTGACATTGAATAAGATTTAGTGCAAAGTTATGTTTTTTACCAAATCTGAAACGATTTCGATTTGCAACAGATAAAAGACTCCTGTTAGTGTTCAAATGGTTTAATTTGCCATACTGACTTCAGAAAATGCGTGATTTAACATTTCAAACCTGTGAGCAGAAATCTAACTGCTATGGGTCAATATTTCTAATTTTACAAGATTTTTTAAATTTATTATTACTCATATCCCCTCGACCAGGAACTAGATAACGCCTGTAAAATCTACAGTTTATGGAATCTTAAGATTTTCTTTTGGCTGCTGATAGTAAATCCCATTTCAAACTTGTGAGCAGAATCTGAATGCTATGGGTCAATATTTCTAATTTTAAGAGATTGTTGACTATATCATTACTCATATCCCTTCGACCAGAAATTGGATATCACCTATAAAATCTACAATTAATGGAATCTTAAGATTTCTTCTTGGCTGATGATAGTAAATAACATTTCAAACCTGTGAGCAGAGATCTAAATACTATGGGTCAATATTTTTAATTTTACAAGATTTTTTAAATTTATTATTACTCATATTTCCTCGACCAGAAAGGGGATAACGCCTGTAAAATCTATAGTTTACGGAATCTTAAGATTTTCTTTTGGCCGCTGATAGTAAATCCCATTTCAAACTTGTGAGCAGAATCTGAATGCAATGAGTCAATATTTCTAATTTTAACCCTCTTGGTGCCACGGGACCATATATGGTCCCTCACTTTTCACACCCGCATAGTGCCAGGGGACCATATATGGTCCCGAGAAAATGCCCTTTTTAAACTGTGAATTTTGATATTAAACACTGAGTGCGCAAAGTCAAAACTATAACCATCATCACCCCAATCATCTTAGGTTTAACATCGTGTAACTCATACTTTATACAATGCTACGGATTGCGAAATATGGCGAGATTAGTAAAGTGGCTACCGCTCTTCTCGGCCTTTTTCTGCCATGTTTGAACACCAAGCGAATGACGGCGAATTTTGATTATGCACCCATGTCACAAAGTTGACAAACACGTAAATATTTTCAGACAAAATCCTTGTTCATAAGAAAAAATATGACCTGAGTGATCAGAAAGACATATTTTTCCCAAATGTATACTTATTCACGGAAATACAACTCTATTCACTCCTTTATGAACAAGTTTTTTTACACGTTTTGTATATTTTAATCGACTATCGGTAATGGCGGAATGGTCGGCACACATGAGAAAACGACAGTGTATATTTCCATTACATTAGAAGTTCATTGAATGAATTTATAACCATCTTCACCCTAATCATCTCAACGTTATTATCGTGTAACTAATACTTTATACAGTGCTACGGATTGCGAAATATGGCGAGATTAGTAATGTGGTTACCGCGTTTCTCGATCTTTTTCCGCCATGTTGAACTTCATGCGAATGAAGGCAATTTTTTATTATGCACCAATGTCACATACACGTAGCTATTGTTATATCAGACAGCCAATTTGAAAAAGAAATCTAATCGGACTGGTCAGAAGGTTTAACTTGTCCCCACTGTACAGTTATTGGCGTAAGAGTACTAACGTTTAGACGGCCACGGAAGTTTTTTGTTCAAGTATTGCATAATTCTTATCGACTGTGTGTCATGGCGATTTAGCACGGCGCTACATACCAACCGACAGTGCAGATTGTCTTTTTGTTTATGATGCTGATTTACAGAAAATATTCAAATCAAAGATATGGAAAGATAGCTATAATCGTTAATATTAAGTTGGTATAGTGTATATTTATGGGAAGGAGGTTCATGATCAAAACCTTAACATTGAATGGCCATATCATTGTACCTTACCTTGAACTTATATTTAATGTTATATTAGAAAATGGAACATTTCCAGATGCATGGTCAATCGGGATAATTGTGCCAATACATAAACAAGGTGATCTAAATAATATAAACAATTACAGAGGTATTTCACTGCTAAGTATATTTGGTAAACTATTCACAAACATAATAAATAAAAGGTTAGTGTTTTGGGCAGATACCCTCAACAAAATCAATGAAGAACAAGCTGGATTTAGATAGGGCTATTCAACTATTGACAACATTTTTATCCTTCACGTTTTAGTTAACAAATACCTCAGTGTCAAGGGTGGGAACTTTATGTGCTCTTCGTTGACTTTGCCAAGGCATTTGACTCAGTGCAGAGACATAAACTATGGAACCTTTTAAGATCACATGGTCTCAGCTTTAAGATGAACAAACTATTGGGTAGCATTTACGAGAATATTAAGGTGTGTGTGCGAAACAATAATGAAATTTCAGAAACATTTATTAGTCAGTTAGGAGTAAGACAAGGATGCATCTTAAGCCCATTTCTCTTTACTTTTTTCATAAATGAACTGGCTGTACAAATAAATACCAACTGTAATTATGGTGTTCAGCTCCATCCAGATATTACACAGATATTTTTACTTTTATTTGCAGATGATATTGCTCTCTTTTCATCAACAATCAAAGGACTGCAGTGTCAAATTAATTAACTTGAAAGTTACTGCAATAAATGGAAGGTAACAGTAAACATGAGTAAAACAAAAGTTTTGGTATTTAAGAACGGAGGTCATTCAGCAAGTAAAGAATATTGGTCCTTTAAAGGACAAAAAATAGAAACTACAGGATTTTATTAATATCTTGGTGTTTACTTCAGTAGAAACCTGTCATGGCATAAACATTTGTATCAAGCTGCTTTACAAGCAAGACAGGTCTTTGTAAGTATCCATAAGAGTTTGAAAGTTTTAGAAACCATTTCTCATCAATCTTTTTTTTAAATATTTGATATAAAGATACTCCCCATTTTGTTGTTTGGAGCAGAAGTCTGGGGTTTACAGCATTTTGATGCCATAGAAAAGATTCATTTATATGTGTTTGCAAAAAGTATTTAGGTGTTAAAATAAACACTTCCAGCTTGGTGGTGTATGGAGAATGTGGAAGATTCCCTCTCTATGTATATTCAAATATAAAAGTTATTAAATACTGGCTGAGACTTATTGACATGCCCTCATATAGATTGCCAAAAAAGTGTTATAATATGATGATAGTTTATGATAATAATGGGAAAAGAAACTGGGTTACAGGTGTTAGAGAATTACTTTTCAGTTGTGGCTTTGGTGATATTTGGCAAAACCAAAATGTGTATTCCAAATCAATGTTTATACTTTCATTAACCCAGAGATTAAATGATATTTATTTACAATCTTGGACTGCATCATTGACTCTAACAAACAAGTGCTTTTATTACAAAATGTTTAAATCAGAAATAATGATGGAAGATTATTTATCAAAAGTTAATGTTAAAAAATTTCGAATGGCTCTTTCACGTTTTAGATGTTCTTCTCACGACCTTTTAATAGAAACAGGGCGCTATGTAAACATTCCTCGTGAAGAAAGAATCTGTAATCTATGTAGTTTAAACTCAGTAGAAGATGAATTTTATTTCTTACTTGTATGTCCAGTGTAATTACACCTTAGAGAAAAATACCTGCAAGCTTATTATTACAGGTACCCTAATATTATTAAATTTGATACACTGCTGTCAAACACAAAAAGAAGTATCTTACAAAATGTTTCCATGTACATATATTATGCCTCTTTATACCGACAGAACCTTAGGAAAGAATAATTAATTAGCCGATGCTCTACCACTGGACCACAGTGTACTAGTGCTCGTTTAACGGGTCATTAGAATCACCATTGACTTGCATGCGTAATTCAGTAAACAATGAATTGCGCATGCGAGTGACGTCACGGTCCGCTCTCCCATTCATCTTTTCTTGAAACCACACCCGCAATTGTTTATGTCAACATGACCGACCAATGGGATTCACCGCTTGAAAAGGTAAGAATTTATGGCTAACCCTTGCCAAGCTTACCCAAATGACCGAAAAGGGGTTTTGGAATGTAGAGACGTGTAAGTTTCCCTAAGACCGAAAACGGGTGTTGGATCGTAAAGACGTGTAAGTTTCCCTAAGAACGAAAACGGGTGTTTGATCGTAAAGATGTGTTAGTTTCCCTAAGACCGAAACCGGGTGTTGGATCGTAAAGATGTGTAAGTTTCCCTAAGACCGAGAAGATAATTGATAACCAATTGTGTATGCATATATATCATCAAATACACATTACTAATCTCTTCAGAAAATGGAATATATTATAGCTCGTTTTCAAACATTCTGCCATGGATATTAGATCAAAAATTAAAATTAGATTTACAAATTATGTATGTACATTGTACTCTCGATTAACGTATGATAATCTATTGCAAATCTTCAACTCTTATTTGATATGTCATCTGAAATGTCAGCAATGAGTAAAATTAATTTTATTTCGTTACAATCTGCAATTTTATTCAAATAGGCTAAAAGACGGTCGGTGATTTCCCGCCGCTGTCAATTTGTCGTCTGGACAGGTGCGAAGGATTTGACCTCGCGTGTTGTGACGTGGATGACGTCACATGAAACAGCTGATCTAATGTTGTGGTAGTATAATGGATACACGTGGTTTCATTTTCCAAATAACAATATTCTCTTTGACTGAACTAGTAGGCATATGTAGTACA